CCCCAAAACCCCAAAACCCCAAAACCCCAGAAGGGGTGTTTATGATTGAAAGTTTTAGTTCAGGTTTTTATAGGGTGGATTAGAGCTTGTGTTGTTTTTGAGTTTTATATTTCTTTAAAAATGGGATTTTGCCTATATTAAATCGTTAATGTTTGGAATTATGGAATTCATTGGTTAGATATATCACCTACTCCACTGCATAAACAGAAGGACGCCTTAGCCCAACCTTCTTAACTCGGTTCTGTACATTCCTCAATTGAGACCTAGGAGGAGGTCTGAGCGAAGCCTTGTACTGACCTGAAGTTTAGAAGAGGATTACTGATAATGTTTAGAGGGGAGGAAGATGAGTGAGGGGTGGAAGAGGGGAATAGAGGTGGGGTTTTGTGCAGAAGGGGGTTTTGGAGGGAGGGCTTGTTGATGGTGTTTGGAGGGTCTTTTTCTATGGGGTAGGTGAAGGGAGTTTGGGGATGGTAGTGGTTATTTAGGGGGGAATTGGGTTTGGTGGTGGAGATGTTTAAAGGGAGATTTTGGGGGATTTAGTATATTTTTGACCTCTCAGATAGAGGTATAGGCAACTTACTCATAGCTTCTTGGTAGTCATTATCCTTTGATAGCAAGTAATCCACTTTATTTTTAAGCTCTCGAATCGAAAAACTTAGATTTGTACTATCAAGGGCATAATTGTATGAGTTTAAAAGTCTATTTATATTCAGACCCAGGTAGCCCAACTTCGATGCAATCATACTCCTTGTCTAAATCATTTGGTTACTTTGCTTAATTAACATAAAAATCAAATTTTTGAATAACTTACATTTGTCAGATTCTTGGACTTGAGAGTTTATTCTTTCTTTACCTCCTTCTCACTGTTTTTCATCTTCTGGACTGCTATCTTCCTCACTATTACTATCTCTGAATTCTTGCTCACTACTACTCTGCTCTTCTTGTGCTTTCTTTTTAAGTTCTTCCAATATTGCGACTTGACTTTTGTAAACTTTTTCAGCTTTTTCAAGATTTTCATAGATCTCATTATTTAGAGCTCTAGAAGATATCCAACCAATGATGAATCCTCCAATGATTTCATAGAGCTCAAAGATACCTCCAAGTTGGCCAGTTACTTCGAGGAGATCAGTGACTCTTCTCTCATAAAAGGTCTGCTCATAGTCTAGGGAAATAGTGCCTGAGAGTATTCCTAAAGTTTCAATATCCCAATCAGCAGGAATAGGGGCTACATTGGACATTATTGTATCTGAAGTCTTTTCAATCGAATGAAACTCTCCTTCTTCTTCGACTGACCAAGGAAAGAACCCATCCCTTTTAGTAAATGTATTCTTTCTAGCCTTCAAGTCAACTCTTACTTTGTGGAATGAGTCTGGGATATCAAAAGTCTCATATTGAAAATAGTTTTGGACTGGTTCCTCAATATTTTTAAAGTCAAAGAATTTGTTGTCAATAATTAGCATAAGGCGAGCCCCATATATATATTTGTTCAAGGTATCATGGTCTCTGACATCTATTTCTATTCCATTCTATATTTAAAGAAATTAATTTTCTCCTCCCTAACAGACTTTTGTATAAAATAGGCAGTACTGAAAGAGTAAAGCATAGAAATAATTTATGTGCTCTTATTCAGAGAGTAAGCTCAAACATAAGTTGAGCTTTATAAGATTCAAACAACTGGTCGCTTAAAATGAGAAATATTGTACTAAAGTAAATACCTTATTAGCATTAATATCGACTTGAAATCTGATGACTTTTCTTTTCATATTAAGACTATCTCCTTGTAACTCGAGTCCTTTCAAGTTCAGACACTTGTAATGATTAATGGTGTCCCCTAGTTTAAATATGTTTGGGAAATTATCTTCATTACAAGTCTCAAAATTTAAGGTAGTCGTGCTAGAACTCCCAGCTCCTGATGTATCCAGGTCAATATTTTCATAATATGCAGATATATTAAATGCTTCTGAAGCAGGGACTAAATTTGAGCCATCACTTCCAAATAAATAAGAAGAAATTGATGGCGTAAAATTAACAGCAATGTAAGGCCCATCTGTGAGTTTAATTCCTTCTGCAAGAGAGCCTGCTTTAGAGGTATACCCATATGCTCCATTATCTTTAAGGTCTCCTTTAAAGACACTACAATGTAACTTATCAACACTTACTTAACATTCGCGGTGACTTCTCTCCTCCTGAACATAGACATGAACAAAAGTCCTCCATAGATCGCCAAAAAAATGACTACCAAAATAAAACTGCATCCGCCTACAAACGAGCTATACCTATCACTTACATTATGAGTGAGACATATTTTATGATTAAAGATATCTTTGGTTTTAATCCTGTCTTTAATCCAACTGAATGTGCTCCTGAGTTTACCCATTTTTTATTATGAAGAATTCTATTAGGGTTTTATAGTGAGGGGTTTTGGGGTTTTGGGGTTTTGGGGTTTTGGGG